AACGAAGGAAAGCAAATTGTGTACCTTGATGAAACTTATGTACATCAGAATTATAAAGTTAAAAAGTCTTGGCAAGGACCTTCAACAACTGGTGTCACTACAAAGATATCCTCTGGAAAACGGCATATTGTTGTGCATGCTGGATCTGAGGAAGGTTTTGTGCCTGGTGCATTATTAGTGTTCAGTAGTAAATCCAAATCTGCTGATTATCATGATGATATGAACTCATCGAACTTTATGAAATGGGTCAGAGAAAAATTAATACCAAATTTAAGTAAGCCCAGTGTAATTGTTATGGATAATGCCAGCTACCATATAAAACAAATCAATAAACCGCCTATAATGTGTAATACCAAAGCAGATATCCGTAAATGGCTTGTAAATAATGGAATACATTTTGAGGAATATCAGACAAAGGCAGTGTTAATGTGTTTGGTTAATGATAAGAAAACATTGCCTGTATATGAAGCTGAAGAGATTTTAAAAGAACATAATCATGAACTTTTATTGCTGCCACCGTATCATTGTGACTTAAACCCAATAGAGATGGTTTGGAGTCAAGCAAAAAGAAAAATTGCAAGCAGAAACATTGGAATACCAGGAAAGGAAATGGAAAACTTAATAATAGAGTGTTTTAACTTAATTACCCCTAGTGACTGGAAGAAATACACTGATCATGTTTTAAATGTCGAAAATGATTACAAATTAAAAGATGGCATTGTTGAAAACGAACTTGAAAAATTTATTATATCTGTTGGTGCAGACAGTAGTGAAGAGAGTGACTCTGATGATTCCTTGTCATTGTTATCAGGTGTAGAATATTTAGAAACAGATTTTGACTATGAATCAGACTAAAGTATTTTTAGTCTGATTCATAGTCAAAATCTTATCTTAAATTTTCTATTGTGATTAACATGATGATTTTGTGACACCTGTATTATGTAATTTATCCATGGCACTTAATTGTAACAAAAATAAATGTTTTTTTTATTGTAATCTGGTATTTATATTGACTAATTTAATTTGATAGATAGTGGTTCTGGATCAGAGCAAAAGGTTGTGATGAAAATCCCTTAGGAGACATGTATGTGTTATGAACACATTATAAATATAAGGGCCAGAAATCAAAATTGGCTAACATCACATTTATTAAAAAAATGTGGCCAGAGTCGCCCATATTCATTACAAAAAAACAAAGAAGTCGTTGCAAAAAACACCCTTTTAATTAATGACAAATATGAATTTTTAATATTATAAGTGCTGTTAGCCAATAAGTATAACGAATGGGTTAAAAAAAAGATTCGATTTAGTCCGTCAGTCAGATAATAGAAAAATATTGGATACGTATTTTTTTTCGCTTTAATTTAACAACAAATGGCTTAAGAGGTACTATGCGACGACTTCAAATATGCTTTGCAACAATGTTACTTTAATACAGTTTATCGATACGAAATCAAGTGTCAAAATGGAGTCCAGTGGAGAATGCCGATATTGACATTTCGAAATTGCTCATCATTGATAGAGAATACGAAATAGTGATTTTGACACAATCAAAGTGTCTATTTTTTACGGTGATGACGATTCTTGGTTGTCAGTTGAGTTAGTGAATAGGCCTACTGATATGCTGTTAACTGTACAATTAAGAACAGTCACGCTTTAGTCAAATGTTCCAAAACAAATAATTTTAATTGATATCTAAATGTTAAGATTAAATATAATTAATAAAAGTATCAAAATTATTTTGCAGTACTACATTCAGTGTTTACTGCTTAAGAATTTTTGAAATTGCCGCCCTTTTCTTGTGACACGTTTCGCTTGCCAGACTCTATTTTCTTTGTCAATACAAGGTTATTGAACTTTATGATTTTTCAAATTCCAAATTGCAAATAAGATATGTCAACGCGTCGTCCACTATAGTAAAGAATATAGCAAAGAAGAGAGTTTAAATATTTGCCACCGATTGTTTGTGTTTACACACTCGTATAAACAAGTATTCAGATATAAATGTAACAGTTGACGGCTCCCTTTATGCGACAAGGAAATGTAAACAAATAAAATTCAGTTTCTACGCCACATACTAACTTGATGTAATTTAAGAGACGAGACGAATTGTCTTTATTTCAATGCAATGGCTCCTATAAAGATCTATGTTTACCAGGTTTAGATCTACATTTTTTTCGAATCGGGACAGAAACTTGATGTTGCGCCTTTCCCCCCCTTACATATTTTTAGTAAATAGGTATGATTTTTTTCTTTTATTTTTAATTAGGGACATTAAAGTCATGTCTGTCTAATAGTCCGTCGTAGTCTATAACGTGTATGAATTTTAAACGACATTTTTGTAGATCTCTTTCTATTTTAACTTTATAATATCGATGACAGAAAACAGAAAGGGCGTAACACAAGCAATCACAACTTTACACAAAAAACTGAAAATAAAACAGAAACTAATTCATATATTTTTAACGATACGTCGTATGAACACAATTTTCAAACCATAAATATACGATTCAAATCTTAATCAATCAATCAATTTTATGAAGAAAACTAAAACATCTACTAAAAAATATTGTGGCAGAATAGTGCGACATAAAAATGGAAATAAGTACTCAAACAAATAACGTTTTATCTAAGTAACTAAAATAGCTATCGGGGCGTGAGCGGGAATAAACTAAATTATTGACACAACTTACGATTCGTTGTAATCACCTATTTTACAAATATTATCTCAGCTGGTATTGTCATAATATGGTGGTTAGATTGATTTTAGTTACTCTCGAACTTAATTATCATAAGATAATTATTGCTATCATTTGAAAAAGACTTACCTCGAGAATGTCGAAAATAGAAAATTTTTAAAAATGGATCCTGCGAAAACGTGTATCTGATGCAGTGTATTTATTCAGTGACCGTGTAACTTTTGCTTTTTTCACTCGTTGTATTTCTAAAAAGCTATTTAGCTGTTTAATACCCTCTTACGTTCTTAAAAACTAGCGCATTTTTAAAAATACCTTCCGAGTTCAAGATTTCACAATATATCATCCTAGAGCAATGGGACCCAGATCAGTCGACGCAGAAAAAAGCTGATTATTACCTTGAGATTACTAGACTTAGTTACGCCCTTATAGTGAGATACGCTTTTTGTTTTCCATCGTCGCTTTACGACGATTATGGCGCCCACTTTACTCATATATAAAATCTAATAATATACTTTCAAGGTAAAAGATACAGTTACATTAAATGTTTATTACTTCATTAAATGTGAAGGTCATTTTACAAACGACTAAATACTACCCACGTCTTTTTTGGATTTCCACAAAGATCTTTTTAGGGATATAAAATATTTTCCAGGTATATTATTTAATATTAGTGAGTAGTGAATTTGATGTTCTAGTGAGTAAATACAAATACGAGCATTTTCTGCTGTTTATTTGTGTCTATTGGTACCTATTGAAAAAAGTTGGTGGTTGTGGTTTCAATTAGCTTCGGTACGACTTTTCCTACTCTAAGTCCACAGTGTTCACATGTAAACAGTGCAGTATTCAACAGCAATGTTAGGAAACCTAATTGGAATTTATATTAAGTTAAATATCATTTCATTCGATGAGGTTTAACAAACTCTCTTTAATCTCTTTGAAAATCAATCTCGTTTTGGATAATATGATTTGCAATTGTTATTAAAATTCTTGAATGAAATAGAATAGAATAAAAATCGTTATTGTAGTAGTTGAATTATTTTCTCTGTCTTGGTACCGGCATTATTTCCTGCACTACAATAATGTTACTACATTGATTTCGATTGGCCTGACATGTCTGGCATTAGATTAAATTAAAATGTATTCATCCAATACTTCATTTGTTAGATATAGAATGTTTATTTAATACGTCGGGTTGAATCAAACGTTCAATACAGTACTTAGCACTGTGTACATTTTGATTGAATCCAATACCAGCCAAATAGGAAAAATAGTTACGCGATAGGTCTATATAGAAAATGTACTAGTTGTTTTGACAATATATGAGTTTGGATGTTGTAGCATTACTTTAGATTCCCATAACACACGACTCCATGTCAGGCTACCACAGAATGTCTTTCCTCGATTGATTTTGATTTTACCTACAATGCATTAAGTTTTAAAATCAAGTGGAGAACTTTGACAGTTTTGTATAGTCTGACGTACTTTGACTGTACGAAAATAACTACCTAACATAAGATGTGAGCAATAAAAGGTGATGTTGTAGATGTCTATTTATTTCGCCAGTGTTATTGTACTGGAGAAGATCACAACTATGGTACGACGTTAATACGCTCGGGTGGTCGGATCACCAAGACGATTGATTGGTATGGTTGTCTAGACCAAGGACGGAACATGGAGACCGAGGATAGGTGTTTAGTTTTTAATTTCTCATTTGTTGTGTTAACACAAATAGTCCTTTTCTGAGGATATATAAAAAAGGTCGGCATAATATATATATGGACTGTTCTTTTCTCTGTTGGGTATAGATAACAATAAAGAAAACCATTATAATTCTATATAATCTAATTTGTACTAAAATATAATTGCAATGTGCTTAGTGCAATAATACAAAAAACATCAATTTGGCACTTTTATCAGTTCAAATATCGATGCTACACTTTAGGATCACAATTTCTGTTTTGTCTTAATTACTTTTTCATTATTTTAGAAAGAGTATATTTTATTATAAATTGAAAATTACAATTCATAATACTACACTAATTGAGAGTAAGAACGAAAGTGTTCACTTATTTTTTATAGTTTTGATAATTAATTAACTACCTATGCATTATTCAGTTCCTATGGCATAAACTACATCATTACATTTAATAGCACTCTAAAAATTATGTATGGATTTTTAAACTTTATTCATGTTGGTAATACAATACGGAATCATGTCGATATCTTTATTTATTGACAAAGTTGAACTTAGAGCTGTTTGAATGTTGAATGTCTTCTCAATTTGACTACTATTTTAAATTCTCATCGACATGGTTCGTCGTCAGTCGACGCGCATACTCCATCGGGGGCGGCCAGGAAAAGTTTTCCGGATGCGCATGCACATAATTGGTAAATCTTCATGGTCCTTATATTCTTTTGGAGCCTATTTGATACATTAGCTTTTTTAAGATTGCTTATGACTATGTTTTGAGCTTCAATTCGAATCTGAAAAAGAAAATTCAGCAGTGTAAATTATATAAAATTTGATGTTTTCCCGTTTCCTATGTCACAGGCACATGATGTAGCTTCTCGTAGGTGAAAGAATTTTTCGAATCAACCCTGCGAATTCGTAAAAATTTGAACCCAAATTCGAATGAACTCAGATGTCCTAATTAACTTCAGAAGCGGCATCCGCTCATCCTTGAATTGATAATAATGTTTGGTGGCATAAGTGAAATGAGTTTCGAAATGACATACGAAAATAGAATATCTGAGACGCGTATGAATCAATCGATCTTGTTTTGTATTTTTATGCAAAAAATGGAATCAATAGAATTTCTACACTAAATGACGTGATTTCAGACATATGTGTGAATTTTAATTTGGGTTCAGATCTTTAGAAATTCGCGCTGCAGTCCTGTAGTTTCAGAGTGAATTCAACGCAAAACAATAAATATAGAAACACACAACCAATCAAATCTTCCCTTTTTATAATATTAATATAGATAAACGGATGAATAATTTTCTGTTGTCTCCAACAATATTATAGGATTTTTTGTTTTTCATACATGAAAACAATATTATCTACCCATTAAACTTTTTGAATAAAATGGATATTTCTTTGAAGTACAAAGTTTTAATTGCTTGGACCTATTATTGTTTTTACATTAGATATTGTTATGAAAAATTTTGTTGACACCATTCCTAATTTATAATATGTAGTAGTTATAAATGGCTTTCATAATTAATCCGAACTATTTTAATGCAAAACATATGACTTAGATAAATAGTGTAGAGTAATTTTTAAATTATATTTTACTTACGGCCCCCACATCGGATTCCAATTTAATATCTCGGTGGGAGATGACGTCGATTTTACCCGCTTTGCTCTCGAGATGAATGGATTTCGGGGCTCTCAAACTGAGGCGTCTAGTCAATGATTCCAACCTGTTTAACAATCGTTTGTTTCTGTTAAATTATTATTTGTATATATTACGTTTATAAACTATATATTTTCATAAAAATATATCTTTCATATGTATTCTTTATCTGTTTATTTAAATTGGATTGATACTTTACAAACATATTCATCTCTACCATTGCATTAGTACCTAAGCAAAATACTCAGTGTATTAAAAATAACATCGTGTAGAATACATACATGCATAATTAAATTAAATTTAATATTTAGGCCAGAGACTAAAGTCGATCTACGTTCAGATTAACAATAAATAGTGTCTCACAAAGTTTAAAAACGTTCATAGCCCTGTAATATCAAATGTCCAATAAGGTCAAATGTATATCTATACTTAAAATAAGTGCATACTGTAGATCTGAGCCAGGAGGTGCTCTAATGGAAGGTGTCTGCATGGCCGTTTGCACGTTGACTCCGCCGGGACCGTCCACGGCAAGTGCGTCTGCGAACACGCGCACTTCATCGCGTGACGCGCGGAATACGTCACCACCACGATGGTCGCGAACTTCAAACGTGCGACCGCTGCATTCCAGACTGTCACGCTCTGGAAATTTTGGTTAAATGTGTGAATTTCAAATACTTGAAAAAATTACCAAAATAAAACGTAACAGCGTTTTAGAATGTATCAATTTAGAATCAAACTTTCTATGATGTGAGGAATAAATTTGGACATTTTTGTAAGTGGGTCGAAAAGTTCGAGAAGCAGGACAGCTAATCTAATAATATACTTTTCGCACTTCTAATATAAACATGTCATTAGTGTGTTTTAATTAATATAAACTGAAAATTAGCTTATTTTTTATCCTTTGGCCAATGATATTACAATAAAAAAGAATAGATAGGTTACGTGCATTCAAAAAGTGTCACCTTAAAACTATGCTAATTAGCATACCTGAGCTCAGTTTAGGGAAAGCGTTGATTGTGTGCGTTTATCTACCATATTATGTGTAAATTGAAACTGTAGAAACTACATAAGTAAGTCGACTAAATATCAAGGGGTCACATTTTATTCGTAAGTATACATTTTTGATTGTTTTAGTTTTAAACAGAAAGTAAAACTTGTGTCATAAAAAGAAAGAATAAATACTTCGATTACAAATTGTGAAAAGATCTGTCAAAGATTATGTAAGTAACAGATTTAGCGGATGCCGGTTTTTGAAGTGAATTTGGACACATGGGTGAATTCGAATTCGGTTGGGATTTTTATAGAATCATCTTGAAGAACGGACAATTTGAGTTTAGTGCCTACGCTCTATCTTACATTTATTTGAAAATCTATAAGAGTCTGAATCTCCGAAATCGGGTTTTGAATTCGGAGCATCGGAGGTAAAAAATACTCCGATTCCGATTTCGATCGTAGCCCTCGTGTTATATACATATTATTTATCAGTGTCAGGTTTATTTTATCGCTTGAAAAGCTCATTATTTATACACGGGCAAATAAGAGTAATGTTAGACATCAACATTGCAAAGTTTTGTCTGCTGATCGAAGTCTTTAACTCTTTTTGGTAAAAGTAGTCATTGATCATGCATTAAATCACCATATGTCTGGTCTGTGATATGTTCAATTATAGTCTATGAATAATTGCAAAGTATCGTGCCATGTCTATGCTGGAGACAATTCTTGACATCGTATTAGTACTGCATACATGACCTATCTACCCTTTTCAATTGTAATATAATTGCCTTTGGCTATACAGATATACATCTATTTGATAGAAAGTTACATATTATATTGTAGTAATGTACAATGATAGGACCACATGTACAATATTTGCTATCATGCATTACATTTCCTTATGTAATATGAATCGTAACTCATAACTGTTTATATAAATTATCAATAGTAAGTAAAATTACCGAGGGCGGACTGATATTAAGTGAAAAACAGATTAATTAATTTTCATTGTTACATAACAAGGGAAAATTTGTTGCTCGTAAATAAAATCATTACAAAACTTTAAGAGCAGCAGATGGTAGTTAAAGTACAATGACGGTTGGTTGATTTGTTAGAATTGGAAGCATCTTGCAACTTTTAGATTATCTGCATTTCCTTGTTCTTATAATAATGCGATTTGTTGAAATAAACATGCACAAATTAAAGTACTTTAGTGAGACATTTCAAGATTACTACGGTTGTTAGATTTCGCTGAACTTAATAAAATCTCATTAAACAAGTTCTATTATACCTGACTTTGTGTAAAAACTTTATTTATACATTACAAGTTGTTTGTTGGTACTAACTGATTAATAGCTTAGCAACTTCCAATTGTTGTAAGCTCTTGTTGTTTCCAAATGTGGGCTCGGTTACCAGCACGGTGAAATTGCGGTATGAGTGTATAGTGAGAGGCTGAGCGGGTTGTGACGTCACCGTTGAAGCAACCAAACTGTTCGAAAACCAAGCGCGACTATTTACATGTATGCCATTCTTCACTATTCTGATTGGACCAATTCCATCCTAAAAATAATAACTTTAGTTAATCTACTAATGTTGCAAACGGTCGAGAAAGAAATATTGCCTGAAAGAGTATTTGTTTTGTGTACTTTATTACGAATTAGTCTTGCAAATACTAAAAGCATATTCCATCAATTTTCGAACATCTAAGTTAATCTGTAAAGATGCTCTTACCTAACTGGGACAGAATTTTTTTAGGTATTATAAGTATTTTTATATAAATAATTATACAAAATAATAAATCAATGTCAAATTCTTTTTACCAATTATATATAACTGGATATCTTATTAAATAGTAATTGGATGCTCGGTGTTCGCCCGAATAAGATAAGATTAACTTTTAACTGATAACTATTTTTTCGTTTATTAAACATTCTTCAAATACTACATTGTCTTTTTATTATATTTACATTTAATTTCTACAAAAATAAAACTTACCATTGTTAGTCGAAGCGCACTAATAATCCATAAAGTGAGTGCGATATTAAGGAAAACTAGAATCATCAGCAGTACAATGATAATGTAGAGGCAAGTCCTTCTCCAGCCTCTGAATAATACTGTGGGTAGGCAAGTTGTTCGTTGGCACTCATTACGATTCACCGTGGAGGGCGGAGGCTCACCAGTGGGAGTGCAGATCCAACCTCTAGTAACGCCAGTGTTTGTATTGCTGCTTCGATCCTCCACGCTCATGTCGTAAGTGCTACCTTACTTATTTATTAGAATTCAACTTTACCCTGTAACACACAATTACCACGTATATTAGCAATATGAAGTAACAAGCTTAATGTCGTCGGTCCATGGCGTAATTTCCTTCTTTAAAATTTAGTTAGTTTTGACGTTTGGAACCTATTTAAGGGTTCCCTATAAAGACGGATCCCTTCATGTGGTAGTTTCTTAGTCTGTTTGACGATTTTCTCGGAAACTGAAGCGAATTTACTTGAAATCCGGTATTCACATGGAAGTCGATAACCCAAAGGTGGTCGTGTGAATTTTTATTCGTGGAGGTATCTGTTGGTTTGTTGGGTAAATTAGAAAATTTTAAAAAAGTTTTGTAAAGTATATATTATTGTGTGATATCAACTGAAAAAGCTTATTGTAAGCTTTTCAAATATATTTTTTTGAGTATTTTAAGACAAATAGTATTGAAGCTAATGGTTTTTATGTTCACACGAGGGTTACATGTCAAGCTACCACAATATGTCAATTTTGGAAATAATATGTAATTTTGGAAATAATATATTATATAATTTATAATAATCTTTTGAATTCTACCTACAATGCATTAAGGTCTAAAATTTTATGCAGATATTTGATAGTTTTGATTTGGTAGATACAGAATCCTAATTGTACGAGTCAACCTTGCTCTTGAACATAAATTCATTCGTCCAGTGCAATTATTCCAAGTACATAATCTTTCCTTAATTTTGCTTCATGCATCAAATTCAAATACGATAACAATGAAGAAGCTTACTATTTTCTTTTTCCATTTAACGTGAAAAAATAAGCATAATCAATAAATTCTGTGATTCTTTTTTAAATATTTACATAAATAAAAGTAAAGGTACTTTGAAGTTGCGCTCGCTAGAATAATTTCGCTTCACACGGTACCACAGTATGTGGCGTCACAGTACCGAACATAATAGTAGTATTATGACTTTGTATTTGTGCATCGCTTACAGTCGCATTTTGATTATTACTAGATGAACGGCACTTAAAATTTTCAATTAATATTGTATTGTCACTATGTATTAAAGCACAACAATAAAAAACACTAATAAAATATATTTGAATACGGAAAAGAAAAATCTTAAAGTCTTAAAGTTCAATATAGTAACAAAGGTTGCAACCACAAATAGACAAAATGCGGTACCTACTAATTAATAGTTTCGGTAAAAGAGGTACCTACCTACTAAATAAAGTGGCTGTGACATACTGGGGACGCACAGACAGACAGACATGACGAATCTATAAGAGTTCTAATTTATCCATTTGAACTCTAAAAAAACACGAAGTGACCATGACGGCAAACTAATACTTAAAAATATATGTGTAAGATAATTTTATGGAGTATCTAAAAGATTCATTTTCATTAATCGATAGGGCGGGCTCACATGCGGAGTGCCCGCATGCAGTTAGGGCCCGTATGCTTATTTTCAGTAGGGTATCATTGACTGTCATTGGTTTACCCGCTAGTACTAGCTCATTTACATTTTACATTGGTCGAGAGTACCCGCATGCAGAGGGCGGACGATAATTATGCTTATTTTCAGTAGGTAATCATTATTTGTTATTGGCAACTTCATTTACACTGGTCGATAGGGCCGGCATGCGGAGTGCAGCGATTTATGTGCTTATTTTCAGAATTGGTCAATGATCGACATCTCATTAGTTTATCCACTACTGCAAGCTCATTTATCCTGATTGATTGGACCTCTATGCGGAGTGCAGCAATTCTTGTGCTTATTTGCATTAGTTAGTGTTTGACTGAAACGAAAACAGTTTATCGGTCAGTAATATAAGCTCGTATGGATCACTCGTACTCTGCATGCGGGCTCTGTCGGCCAATGTACCATTACGAAAGTCAACATTCAATACAAAAACTGCTAACGGGTGAACCCTTTACATATCGCATCATTACTTTTAAAGAGGTAAATTGTGAGAGCATCCTTTGCCTCCTCTAATTTTTAAAATATATTCCACATACGTAAAAATATGCTGTAAACTCCAATGAACCTTTTTTTAACGAAACCTTGTTTGAACGGAATATAGCGACTTTCTGAGATAAGGCACATTAACAAAAACTGCAAATATTACTTTGGCATTCATACAAAAATTATGAAAACACAACAAAACTATTTTAGATAGGTTCTCAAGTATTAAAATGTAATATTGAAATAAAATTTAATGTCCATTAGTAACTACAAAACAACGCCAGAGCACCCAATAAGTAGAAAATAATAAGTGATTTGCAAAGACTTCTGTTTAATTTGTAGAACAACGATCTCGAGTTCAATGCTGTGACGTCACAGGCAAGTCGAGGGCCACAGACGTTCCGTGCGAAAACACGCAGTTTTAAATAATGTATAACTTGGTAATTTATTAATATATTTTAATTTTGTTCTCTGCTTTATTATAGTTTTGACCTATATTTTTATTAAATTGTGTTTATTATAATAATATCAAATATAATTTTAATAATAAAAAATACAATATATCATATTAGGTATACTTTATTGCAAAACCAAAATAAGCAACATAACATTCATATCCGAGACACCTTGAAATTGGCGTTTGTTTCACTTGGCCGCGGCGGCCATCTTTTAAATAGTTAGTTGCTAGATCACTGACATATCATCTAAATAACATAAAGACTTGAATTTCATTAGCATAAAAACATCATTTTATTGTAAGACTTTTATGATTGCTATCTTTTCTTGATCGCAGAGGTATTAACGTCAGTATGAAACTTATTTAAAACCGATAACCGAGCTCCTGCTGCATCGAACTTGTGTCTGGAAGTGTAATTTGTAATATTTCTTATATCCTAAGTATTATAATAAAAATTGGTTTAACTATAAGAAAAGATATTTATTTCATAGAATAGGATTAATATTTTTTGATCTTAGTCATTCACATGGAATTTTTGAAAGATCGATTGCATTGTCGTGTTACGTTATTGAAATATATTCATCAATATTTAGATTTCAATATTACATAAAATCCTTAAGTCTTTTCCTGCTACAAATGCAGGGCTACTGTGAATGCAAAACTGACCAACTATATATGGTATATATATTTCTTTGTTAAATTTCTAGAAATATTAAATCTGTATATTGTAGCATTGATGTAAGTGTTGGTATATATTGTATTATTAACTTATCAATTTTTGATGCAATTTTTGTATAATCTAGTGTACCGTTGCGGAAGCATAATATATTATTGGTTGAATAAAAGACTTTATTGTAAACACCATAAGTAAATAAACAAAACATAATAATGTAACAGAGAGTACAATTGGCGGCTTTATTACTAAAAGATAACCTTAACAGGATACAATTGAAAAATTGGGTATCTATGTTGCATTAAGAAGTCCCTATCATCACGAAAATCATTAATGGATAAGCAGAAAATTTTTCTATAAATACTTTAAATTGTCTATAAATCTATAATATAAATACAATACATACACATATACATTTAAGAACGCTTTAATGAATTTAGTGCTAGATAGAGCTCCTTAACTAATATATATATGTATGTCGCATCATCTTTACGAAGATCGTTTGATTTGATTAAGTTTATTTTATTTTAAATGCTAGTTACTCGATTGTAGAGAGAGCGTGATCATCGATACTTTTAATTTTATTAGAATGGTGACACTGACGTTGACAGTTCGTTAACAAAAAGCAAGTTGCCGCCATTTTGGCACACATTCTGTTTCCGATCGCCGAGGAGTAAAGACATCCGACGACATCACGCTCATCTCGTTATATTTTCGTATGAAAAGTGATAAAATGGAACAAATCCACGTTGGTATACACGCCTGCAGTGTTATTTTAAAGATAGTCCTCCGATATGGACCATCTATTTGGGCTTCGTAAAAGCCCCTTCTGACTACCCGCCGACATATATATATAGATATATATATATATATATATATATATATATATATATATATATATAATTTTAATAATTATAAATACAAGATATCATATTATATGATATTGGTTAATATATATAAATATAAAAATATTTTACTCTATCATATAAATAGAGTAAAAATTATTTTCTATGTTAGTGTAGAATTATCACGGTTTTAGATGAATAGATTAATATTTCTATATGTTGGGTGCGAAGTACTAGGTGGGGGTAATGAAATCTATCGCAGAGCTCATGGTGGCCACAGAGTAAAAACATTGCCAGCTTTGTCATTTGTCATACTATACCATGAACTTGTATTTCTTTCCAGTGAATTAATGTGAAAACTGTTTAATAATCATAATTTATAATATAAAAAAAAAACTAAAAATAAATGATTTTAAAATTTTTGTAACATAATTTGAATAGGAATCGATAAAACAATAAATAAACTGTGCTGAAAAATATTTATGAATATTCGTAAACGAGTCCCATTTTTCACTAATGATATTTATGAAATTTTAATTGCGTTTAATTTCTTGTTTTACAGTAAAGTTGTAATGAAACTTTTCCGAGTTCTGTGAAAAATAAGCTTAACAAATTCTAACATAACCAAAATAAAACTGAGTGTGAGGTCACTTTAATTTCAATCATTAAAAATCGTTTTAAGAGTCTGTCCATCTAAATCACAGTATCGCAAATGGTTTTGTAATATAAAATAATAGATAATTGTCGATTTTAATGTTTTGTCTAAAATAACACGTTTAATTTGAAAGCATCAAAGCTGTCAAAGTTGAGGACGTTAGGTGTCTCTGAAGTCGTGCACAAAGCCAGCTAATAAAGGAAAATATATATATATTTTAATTGTACACTACATCGGATATATTCCAAAGGAGTTAAAAAAAAGGAGTTCCAAAGAGAATAGGCAAAAGGTGGCCGGTTGCTACGTAGCAATCTCTTCTAGGCAACCCATGACGAAAGAAGAAGATATGAATAAATTGAGGAAGGAGGATGCAAGACGAAGGAGTAAATGAGATATATTAATAAGTAAT